TCAGTCCCACTCCCTCAGTCCCACACACAAAAAAAACCAGATATTTTAGTTTTTAGATGAACTGAACATTAACACTAAAGCATTGTTTGGAACTGAACAATGCTAAATTACTACAAGCCTTCCAGAAGAACCTCCCAGGAGAGTTATATACAATACAAGAAAATTGCATTTCAAATGAAATAAGTGAGGCAAAAAGGTTTACTTTAGGTCTGCCTCTTGGCCCACTTTGACTGTACCCTAAGGACACCTGAACAGACAATTTAAAGCTTAAGCTAACCAGTGAGACTTTAAAATTTTCTCAGTTACATCAACAATAAAGAAAAATACATGACAAGCTTATAGGAATATAAAAAGGATTTAAAAGAAAAAAAGTCAGACTAAGTTAAAAATATATTTTGGGTCCCCCAAGATATATTAGAGAGATCTGGCTTACTTTCCCAGTCCCCTCTTTAAAGGCAAAGGGAATAGAAAACCCTCTAAGAGCCAAACAGAATTCAGAAGCCAAAGCATCCATCCAAAGACACTGGTGGCGAAGGAGGCTGCACCGAACTGTCACAAGACAAGGAAAAAGAAAAGGAGGACTTGTGGCACCTTAGAGACTAACAAATGTATTTGAGCATAAGCTTTTGTGAGCTACAGCTCACTTCATCGAACAAGGAAGGAAGTCCATAGTTGCTGCTTTAAAAGCAAGAATAAGAGATGCAATATAAATAAAATCTAACATGGTGAAGGCAAGCTCAAATGAGGACACAAACACACTATTTGTTGAAAATGGATGAAATTTTTTTAAAAGCCACAAGTTTATTTAACTTGAATCTGATAAACCTCTGTAAACCCAAGGTCTAATCATGCTAGTAGCTTAGAAAGATGGAATTCTCTCATTCCTTGTACTGGCTTCTGGCTCATTTCTATGTTAATCAAGACCTGCTGTACTGATACACTGCGAGCACCATACCGGTATCACCACCCCTTCTCACTCAGAAAGACACTTATTCTTCCCAAACTTGGACTGACGCCCATCTGTCCAAGTAGTGGATGATTTGATATCCATTCTGCAAAGAGAAACATGTGCCCCATCTCTTCAATGTTGCAAGACAGAAAGACTATTCCCATTCACGCCCCTTTAGCAGATGGGATATTGAAATGGAACTCAAGAGACCTGGGTTCAATTCGCAGCTCAGGCAGACACATTCTCTGTGGTTTTGGGCATATCATTTAATGTAGCTTCTACCTCAGGTCCCTGACTGTAAAATGGGGATATATGGCCCTCATCCACTAGTAAGTACCTAGATCAGTGGTGGGCAACCTGCAGCCCACGGGCTACACGTGGCCTGTCAGGGTAATCCACTGGCGGGTTGCCAGACACTTTGTTTACATTTGCACAGCCACCCGTAGCTCCCCGTAGCCGCGGTTCACCGTTCCCAGCCAATGGGAGCTGCGGGAAGCAGCACGGGCCACAAGGACGTGCTGGCCACTGCTTCCCGCAGCTCCCATTGGCCGGGAATGGCAAACAGCAGCCACTGGGAACTGCGGGTGGCCGTGCAAATGTAAACAAACAGCCTGGCGGCCTGCCAGCGGATTACCCTGATGGGCCGCGTGCAGCCCGCAGGCCACAGATTACCCACCACTGACCTAGATGATCTATTTGATCACACACCCATCAATAAGGGGCATGAAGTTTGAGATCTTGTCATATAAATAAACCCTGCACTAGCACCATTGCAAAAGCTATGCATAAAAAAATCAGGGAAGTCACAGTGTACTCCTGTAAGAAGAAAATTAAAACCTGCATGTGATGGGGTGGACTAGTCCGAAGGCCCTCTGTTAGAGGTCTTATGGCCCTGCCTCTGCTCACTCCAAAAAAGAGCAGAGGCGAAGTCCTCCAGGCAGCCTAGAGTGGCTGCAAGGGAGCAGCCAATCAGAGGGACTGCTGGAGCAACCAATCACGGACCAAAAGGGCCACATAAAAGGAAACAGCAGCAGCAGAGCAGTCAGTTGCTGCTTGGAGCTTGAAGAGGGAGAACTGGGTGCCTGGCTGGAAGAGCAGCAGGACCTTGGACAGATCACTGCAGACAAGTTGATCCCAGGGGACTGAGCCCAGAACTTAGCCAGACCAGGCAAGGGTATCATGATGGGCCCCGCTGGTCTGGTTGAAGACTGAGCCCAGGCGAGGGCTGCTGAAAGAACACTAACCAATGGTACCGAGAAGGGACCCTGTTGGGCTATTAAAGAAGGCAGTGTCTCCAGGAAGGATGCTGTTACACTGCACCACTAACACTAGTGTACCTACAGGCACATAATATTGCAGAAGCCAAGCATCACTTTGAAAAAGCATGCAGGGGAGGGCAGCAGGAAGATGTACTCAATGGTTGTGCACTGGAGAAAAGAAAGAGCTCCATGGTATACTGTAACCTAATGTTAGGGTCAACCTATAAAATAAGTCTAGCCAATCAGGTGTCCCAACACAGGCCAATGGCTTCAGGCAATGGCAGCACGCTCTCCTACAAAGACATGTACCATTGGCAAGCACCATATTTTGGTTTTGTGCAAGGTAATGTGGGAGCAAACTAGTCTCCCTTGTTTCCCTTCAGAATAAATAATTTTGAAATTTTAATTCATTCCAGGCTTAGGGTCAGTCTTCACACGCCTAATTTTGCAAACTCTTATACACACAGAGTAGGCCTTACCCATGTAGTCCCACTAAAGCCAATAGGACTATTCATTATTTACTTGGTTCATTTGTTGTAATAAAAGGATGTGAAGCACATTAGTTACCTTACATTTGTATTGCCATTGTCTCATTTCCTCATTAAGAGGAGAGAATACTAACTGAAAATGAAAAGGTTTACACAATGAAAATATGTCTCATTCTAAATACACAACTAGAAATAGATACCAGAAAAGGGTATATGGGGCTTCTAGAAAAGTTAGTCTCTTTATTAGATTAGATTTTGAAAGGAGAAGGGTAAAAAAAAAAAAGTGTCTCAAAGAAGCCTCAAAGTAATCTACCATAAAATACCAAAATCACTTCTAAAAAAATCGTTGTTTTTTTAATTTAAAAAAAACCCTGAACAATGCCCCATGCTTTACAATATCCTATTCCGATAGTGTTACCATAGTAACAAGGTCATCATCAGTAGCCCTAATATATTACTTCATTTTTGACAGGGGAGTTAGAAATCTCTCTTTCAAATATGCATTTAACAAGCTCTGTGAGAAAGCACAGCTTACGAGATCATTCCACTGAAGCAAAACAAGGAAAAACACGCACAGTGCTGAATGGATCATCTTTTATGGATCATTCCCATGTACATTTGTCACATTTTCAGAAACAAGACTGCCATTCTAGCTACTGTGCCAACACTAAAAAAAATATGCCCTATGATTGGCTTAATTATCAGACAGTGATCAAACAAGACAAATAAATGGTTATGTGAAGCAATGTTCAAACAGTTATGCTAACAGCTCTATGGTGTATGAAGCTACTTCACATACAAACACTGAAAATACTGCATAAACAAACCCAATGGATAAAAAAATTAATTATACGTTTCCTTACTATGGCAATTTCACTGAGGACACCATTAATTTAACTATAGATAAATCAAATGTTTGGGTTTATGAAGAAGAAGCATTAGAGCCACAAACACCTTGCTGTAGCAGAATTACAAAAATGATTACCACAACAAATGCATGCAGTGAACCATCTGGAACACTGCAATGCCAAGTATTACTCGAAGTGCAGTAGAGTGCTGGACTGCAATTTCTGCCTGCTCATTCAGCTGAGAATGATGTAATGCTGTTTTTATTTACTGTATAGGTCAACCTTTTTTTGTTTTCCCCTATTTGTTTTCCAGTTCTGGAATTTGAAATAATTGTTTTAATGAACAGTGAAATGTCAATATTAATTACATTAATTTAATTTAACATCAGTTCCAACTTGACCGTCCCCTATGTGAAAAACAGTTAGACATGACATTTCAAGGACATCTACTCTCAGAATCATCATTTCTGAAATTACTGTCTTCGAAGGAGAGAATGAGAAGAAATAAAATATCTGAGATAGTATGTACAAGCAACACATCCTTATGAAAAAGTAGATTTAATCTAATAATTTTAAACCATTACATATTAACCCAAAAAACATGCAACACAGCATTAAGGGTGTGCTGTAGCACAAAGATGAGCAAGAATACAGAATTTTAAGACTGAAACACCATCCTCAATCCATACTACTTTGAACCGGATTAGGCCATTAAGGCACTGACTTCCTTTTGCACTCATACACCATTCCGGGAGGAATTCTGGAATAATTGTGTCTTAGGAGCCATGATTTCTCTGCCAACACTCCACCATGCGCGGGGAATATGCCCACTGAGCATCCTTTGTACAGTTGGCTTGCTACCTAGACTAGTACTAGAGCAGAGCACGACTATGGCCATACTTTCCCCTTTGGAGTAATTCACACGCCCAGATGCACAATGGAAGCAGTCCCTATGCTCTTCCAAACACACAACTGCTACTGTAATGGTCCCTTGCTCAGGAAATGGAAGAAAAAGAATGCCCTTCCTTGAACCAGGCACAATCTTTCTTTTTTGTCGATGGAACCTGCTGCAATAGTGGGCGATCTTGCATGCCATGTGTAAAATGTTCTAATCCCAGGAGACAACTGCACAATGTAGGTGAGTTAGGGATGAGATGTCAGCCATAATGTGAGTAAACTACAGAAGAATTTAAAACACCACATACGCAGCTGCATCCCTTCCTTTTCCCTATATCATAAATTCTAATTTCAATAGACCTGAATGGCAGGTTTAAAACAACTTTTCATTTTGCTATTAGTAAAATGTATGTTATTTCCAATCCTTAAAAGAGACAAGACTTGGTGTTTTAGGTCTACACATACAAATGCAAAATAATAAATAATAAAGTTCATAAATTAAATAATAAATAATAAAGTTCACTCTGTGGCAGCCAGAAGTGATAAAAAAAACACTTACACTAGTGGGCCAAGGGTTGTCGTCCTTATCATCACAATGACCAGGATTACAGTGGTTAAAATCAGAGAAATAAAAGATACCTGCAAATTACAATCCAAATGTTTTATCAGTTCCTTGGTCAGAATTTCAGTAGTTTTAGCAATGTATTACTCATTTGAAAACTTTCTTCAAAAAAGTGAAATTAATAGCATAACTACATTTTTTAAGTGTCTGCCTTTCCATAGAAGCAGGTCTTTGTTTTTAAAGAAGCATTCCAAGATTTCCATGTTTTATTTGCTGTCATTGTCTTTTAACAGCTTTATGACCAATTGAGCCTTTAGTCCACTGCTACTACAAAGAGTCTTGTTTGCAGAAATGCTGGGCATCTCTGGTTCCCCCTTATTTCATTTAGAATTGTGAGTGCAGACCCACTGTAGCTATCATTAAAAAAAAGCTTATTTATGAGTAAATGGCAAATGCAATTATGAAGGTCCAGGATTTTTATTTATTTATTTATTTTTGTCGACAGACCAACGTTTGTGTAGCAGCATATATGGCTCCCTGCCCTTGTATTTTGAGAATGCAGGCTGGCTAGTCCCTTCCTGTGAACAGCAATGTTTTCCTGTATTTGCGTAGTTGTATAACACAACATGATTTGAAATTATGAAACATCAGACAGATTCTACCCAGATGTAAGCAAGTACAATTTCATGGAAGTCAGTGGAGTTGCATCTGCTGACAGCTGGTCTGAATTTGGCTTTATATCTTTTAGGACACATGAGACATCTATAAATGTTTTACGCTTGAGGTGTTATAAAGCATGCAATTGTAAAGACATTTAATATACATAGGCATTAATTTTGCATTCTGATAAGCAAGGACATAAGTGTCCACCTGCAGAGATGAGACTGAATAACTGGAGTAAAAATCTGCCCTGATTGGCTACTATTGCTTCCCCGCTGTCATCATTATACAAATGATTTGAGCTACATTCTTAGGGGGATATGATGATGTAAGATGAAGTAGCTGCAAACCAGATTGTGGTCGCCCCCGGGCATAAAAAGGGTTGCAGTTTGCAGCATTGGTCTTAGAGCCAAATGCAGCCCACCAAATTCACCTTACTTCAATCAGTTGAGTGGCCTTAGTAAGGAGAGGAGCTGATTAATACTCTAGGCAAGCCACCAAAATGTTCTACTCTTTCATTACAAATTAAAATTCATTTCAATATAAGCAATCCATGCCTGTGAAGAAAGCGATCAAAAATTCAAGTTAACCTAAGACTGATTTCAGAGCACAGTGAAGAAAGTTCATTTTGTTGAAAGTTCCACATTAAAAGAACTAGAATTTGTTTTTAATACTTTTAAAAATTAGCAATATTTGCAAGCAATCCAAGCAACAAAGGTGATATTTACAATAAATGAGATTTTATTCATGCTAAGAGGGAATGTTTGCTCATTAAACTATTTAGGTCTTCTTCTATAGAAAATTATAATTTAATGAAATTACAGAATGTTGAGCTGTTTTATACTGCTAATAATTCCATCATTTCAACATTTACTATAAGTATATTTCATTTTCATTCAATCAAGTTATCATGAATTTAAAGTGCTTGTTCAAAATGTTTAACATGCAAGTGTGATAAGTCCCTTTACATTCATTAAGGACCATATTGTGATCTCTTTTCCCATGTTGTATAGTACCATGCAGCATAAGTATTCCCACTGAAATTGATGTACTTAGTTGGGGCAGTAAGGTACTACCACATCGGGCCCTAAATTTGATGTGTGGTTTCTTTAGGAGGGAAGTAATAATTTAATCTCTCAGCTAACATGATGTTATTGGCTTGTATTCTGTTGTACTTAGGACTTCAGAACAAGTCCATCAGCACCAGAACTATTCAGTCATAATGTTAAATTCACACAATAGGACTCTTCAAATGTATTCTACTCTCCTAAAATGCACTGAAGGTTCAACATCCATTTAAGTCAATGGAAAGTCTCCCAATGATTTAAATGGGCAGTGAAACATGCCATGAAATCCCAATGAAAACAACAGGGAATACACGAAAGAAGGGAGAACAGAATAGAGATGTGTTTTGCAAAAGAAGATTTTAGCCTATCATGTGCTTTACTGTGCTGTAAAAAACTGTTGGCAGTGTAACTGGACATTCTCTAAAAATATAATAAGCTGCATTTAAAACAAAGATTTGATATAATTGAACCAAGATATTCATTGGCATTATGATTTACCTTTGCCAGTTTTGCTATGTCACGATAGAGAGACATAGGCAGGGTAAAGATGATGGTAATACACAGAATAATGACTTGGCGGTAAGTAAGTAAGTTATCTGGACCAACTAAAACAAAGGAAAAAATTATATATTTAGATTTCTCTAAGAAATGGATGTAAGGAACAGATAAGTTAGATTTGAAACCCTAGTAGCAATGTACTTTAGACCGTGCCCCAAAACTGAAATCAAGGAAACTCCTACAGATGTCAAGGTTAGGCATTACCTGACCTTAGGATAGGTACACCTGCCCAGTGCATGCTCACAGGGATTTTGTGAGAATAAGTTGAGTACATGCCAACATACGTACAGTATTGTGTGCATCTAACTATGAAATTCCGACCCAACGTGCATAGATATATTATAAACATCCGTCATGGGTGGGATTTTAGAAAGTGATCAGTGTTGGCCAAACTACTCCCACTGAAATCAGTAGAGTTTTACCACTGACTTCAGTAGAACCCAGTTAGGCTAAAACTCAGTGGTTTTGAAAATCCCATCCTACCTGCACATATATAGCTTACAACAGAAAAATCTAGCCCTCCAACGTGAGGTCTGAAGCAACATCAAAGTTTCAGCTGGGTAATCCATCAGGCAAGAACAAACCCAAGAGTGTGTCTTGGCCCATTTACTCTTTGCTTGCATATGGCAGCAGACAGAATTTGATGTGCGGCTCCAAGTGAACCCTGGTTTTATTATTGGTAGTTTGCTCAGTTGAATAGGTTGGTATTGTTTTAACACTCATGCTGAGAAGTCAGATTTTTTTCCTGTGTATCAGAGGATATTTTATTTTTAAAAAATCTTTTAACGGGGCCACAATATTTTGGATTTATCATATTAGAGAATGTCCTAAGTGGTACATTTGTAATACATGTTCAGCTATGTAGAAATGTTATTGTTTAAACAGACATTAAAGAAACAATTTGCATACAATCTAACATTGATCAACAGAGGAACAACAGTTCTGGATGATTATCATAGCTGATACCATTAAGTCCCAGAGTGCAGGATATGCACTGCACCGGCTTAAGCCATGACCTTGCAATCATATGACTTGGCACAGGAATCTACTACCATCAGGTAGTAGGACTGGAGCTGTAGAGTGCAGGAGAAGCACATGTAGATATTAAAAATATATAAATAAGGTTCTTTTAGATTATTAGGAGACTGTACAATAGGTAATTCATGGAGGAAACAAGGGCCATATTTACTTTAGACAGTGGTTCTCTACCTGTGGCCTGGGCCGCATGTAGCCCAATTAGCACACAGCTGTGTGTGCTAAAGGGAGCCCGTGTGGTGGGGTCTGGGTTTCCACCTGCCCCGGCGTAGTGTGTTGGGGCTGCCAGTCTTCCCCACGCGGCAAGCACCAGGGGTCCTGCAGGGTGCGGGGTCTGGGGCTCCAAGCTAGGGTCGGCAGTCTGGAGCTGCTGCCCAGCCCCCAACCTCCAGGGCAGCCGCCCGGCCCCATGCAGCGGGAGTCCGGGGTTGGGGTCCGGGCTGCTGCTGCCCTGCCATCTGGCCCCTGCAGCCCAGGTAACACATTGTGGGCCGCAACTGCTTTAGACTGACACTCTACCTAGTTAATCTCACCCCAAAAAATGTTATATAACCACTTACCTCCAGGAATTGTTTGAAAAACTTTAGTCAAAGTGTCTCCTGTTATTATGTTGTAACTAATCATAGCTTTAAAAAAGAAAGATTGCTTTAATACACATCAGATATGATATAAAGGCCCAAACATATATTACAGACTTTTAGATTGCATGCAGCTGAAACCCTTGCCCCCCATCCTGGCTGCCTCTTTTTTGGCTGATTTTCTGATCTCCCTGCTGCATTCAGCTGCTCTTCACAGATCTCCTTTCATGTTTGTTTTAAAAGTTAAATCAAGAGTTACAGAAGCAAAACTAGGAGCATTAAGTAATAGATGTGAGGACTTGAAAGGGACCCAGACAGATGAGCAAGACAGTTGAATTTTGTGCCCAAGGACACTTACTTCAAAAGGGAAAAAAGGCTTTTATAATTGCCTCTGCTTTCAATAGTGATTCACGGACAGTCAGACCACTTTCAACTTCTAGTTTCTATTAGAAAAACCAAATTATGTGCATTCAACAGTTCTTGTTTTATTTTTATAGCCAGTCCCATGGGATGCCAAATGCATGGAGCTGTATCACCACTTACTGTAACTTGTAAAATCAGCTATTGTCCATACTTGTTCAAGAACAGTAGTTGATTTTACAAGACACAGTGAGTGCCACTAAAACTGAACATTTGTCCATCTGCAGTGATCCAGTTCCACAGCGTCTCAGATTTAAAGATAGGAAGATACCAAGATTACTTCAAGTAGCTCTTACAGAAACACACATTTTAAATGGCAGCTGCTATTCACTATGTGGTGATGTGTGTCTAGATAAGTGAGAGCCGGACAGAGGCAGTAAGTTAAAGGTTCCCTAGCACTAGTGCAGAGTCACTGAACTCTATCCAATATAATGGCAGAGGGACTAAAAACGATAATGCAAAGAGAAAGCTAAAATACAGGGCTCCTCACTTAGGCATCCATTGACTTTATTAGGAACCTGAATAAGGACTGAAGGATTGGGGTCCAAATTTACACACACACATTTCTGAACTAGAAAAAATACACACATGTGGTCTTTATTACTCTATCTCCATTCATTTATACACACACAAATCCTACAAACACTTAACTTTACTACTGTGACAGTTCTGTTGGACTCAGTGGAACGGCTCAAGATACACATGTGCTTAAGTTACTAAGTCTTTGCAGGTTACTTCCATGGTCTTTATTATCCTCCTCTATTTTCTCTGATAAAGCAACTATTATTTTCCATACAGAAAGATTATGGGCCAAAGTTTTCCAAAGTAACTAGTGATTCTGGGTGCCTCTATTTTTGAATGCCCAACTTGACATGTTAAAGGGGCGTGATTTCCAGAAAGGGCTGATCACCCACTCTGTGGATTTCAGACCCCTTTAATGTACCTCATGTTGAACACCCAAAAATGGAAGCACCTGAAATTACTACTCACTTTGGAAAATCTTGGCTGTGGTCAATAGAACACATTTTTACATTTAAAAAAAAAAGATAAAGAACCATATATTGAGGCAGTAGTCTCACATATGTGTTCTTTCCAACACACCCGGACCTATCACTGGCCCTTGAAAGCACAAGGTTCAAATATAACTAGAGTGAAATCCTGGCCCTACTGAATTCAATGGACGTGTGGCCAGTGACTTTAATCGAGCCAGGATTTCACTTTTTAGAATGTATATGATAACCTGATTAAATACATATTAGCATGTTTTCTTATTTCAAGTAAGCAAATATTACAAGACAAACTCTGAAGCTTTTGATTGTTCTATAAAGATGTTGTTTATTAAAAGGATTTATTTTCTTGGGTTTTTCGTGAGAGTCATGAAAAAATTGCCTAAGGATAGGCAATATTTCCATTTTCCTTGCCAAAATAATGAAAAACAAACTAACTCTTTTCATGGGTCCATTTCTAAGTATTTTTAACTTCAACAGTATCTCCCTCTGGTAATTCAAAAAGGATAATTAATTATAAGTTTACAATATATAACTTTATAATGATCTTACCAATAAATGGATATAAAAACTGTAGTGTTGAGAGAATTAGATATCCTATAAAACCATATGATTTATTGACCAGTTCCTGGTAGCTGTTCGTACCAGAGAGGTTTCCTCCTTTAATCAGTAATATAATGGAATAATCTGTTAAAATAATATAGAAGTAATATTTGAGACCGTAATTTTTCTATGTTCTGAAGAAATAGTTTGCAAAGTATTTAAAAAAAAAAGGCAAAGAAAGCAATCATTAACTGAAGCAACTATAGTCAACAGGAAGGGGAAGGGAAAGGAAAACACTGTGGTTCAGTGTGTGCATATGCCCAGCTATCATCCTCTGGAAAGAGAGGGATTTGCAGGCCTATGGTTGTGGCATTCCAACTGTCAGAGATCCCTGAGAATCATTGGAAGCCCATCTTTCCTGCCCAGGGACTATGTAACCCACCCTTTCTCCCTCTCTAGTAGTGGTTACAACACCTATAGAAGCTGGTGAGCCTGCTACAGCCTTGGCTAACAGAGCAAGGTCTTTTAGCCCAGGCAGTACAGACTCATGCTTTTAGGACCAGAGGGCCCAAGGTCAAAAAACTATCCAGTAGCACAGCATTATGGGTAGCAGCCCCAGACAATGTGCCTGTTTCCTAATACAGCAATGTATACTGCTTACAGGCCCCTACAAGTGCCCCACCATATTTTTTTAAAAGGGCACTTCTCTCATTAAATAATTGATATAGTGATTAACAAAATCCCAGCAAAAGTGTTACTAAATACAAACAGTATGAACCATTTCTAAAACTATCTGTACCGGGTCCTCAAGCTTTCCCACTAAGCTGTTGCTCTTTCCCAATCACCAACAGATGCAAGATACCCGATCCTTTCAGTTGCAACTGCAACTACCTATTTGGCATGTTGGGGTTTCCCTTCTCCCCAGCCCACCACTGCAGCTCTTCCTGTTCTGGCAGCCAGTGAAGAAACCTAGCTGCCACCCCTACCACCACTGCTTATTCGATGGGCAGGAAAGATGGGGCCCACATCCCACTACTATGTCATGTGGACCAGGGCCTCCATCTTCTCAGGATGGCTGCTGCTTGTCTGGCTTTGAACCCTTTCCTAGAGCATTGGGCCCTGTATGTGGGGAGGGGCCTTGCCAACATACACCTGTGAAGTAGAGGACTTTATAATCTCCCCCTCCTGCACATATTCCTCTATTGGGGTGAGAGAAAAGCCCCCAGGGCCTGCTAGCCTGTAGGGGAGGACTCTCTTGCCATCTCTGTGAGGGCTGAGATCTCCCTCCTGGTGGACAGACCACAGCCCACCTGAAGAGAAAGACCGGTGGGCTCATAGAGGAGCAAAGTCCTAAGTCCCCTGAAAAGGAACAGCAGCAGCAAACTAGATTTCCTCTGCTCTCTAGCCTGCCCAAAGACAGAATGCAGGTCAGGCAGGAGAGAACCCGCAACCCACCTGAAGACTGGCACCAGGTTTCCCCCACCATTCCAAAGGGCTCTTATGCAGATGGCATATGTCACCTTATCTTGAAGAGTGGAGAAACACAGGAACCCTATGTGTGGGTTTGGCTAGAGCTCTGGATTATTTTAATCCACTACTAGTTGATGGGTTGTGCTTTAGTTTGGGGGCTTTGGGGTGTGTGTGAGAATGACCTGTTTTTAATTCACCTTTACTTTTTACTTAATTTCTATATTTATGTTTTGTCTTTTATATTCATTTTACTAGACACAAATAACGTTTATACACGAAGATTTATTTTATCACAGAGACCAGGGATTGAATGCACATGAAAATGAATTATGCTCTTATCCAAGACAATACCACTTCAGAAAAGAATTAATAATACTGATAGAATTACTTCCAGACCAAACCTCAACCATTTCTGAAGTATACTTTGGCACCTTTACCAAAGCATAGCTTGAACTAACACTAAGAATTAGCTACAGTAGATTGCTGGAACAATTTTTATAATGGGGTTCTGCTGATGGAAACCATGTATTTGGTGTTTGTTATTACTACTTCAAGTCAGGGGGTAGAGCAGCACCCCTAGTTCCAGCACCAATGGTTGGCAATGCTGAGATGTTCTGGTGAGGACGAGCTACAATGCAGAAGTTACTGCCCTAGTGCTGATAAGTTTTGCCAGGTAGTTCTGCCTTGCCTTGCCATCCCATTTCTATTCAGGTTTCAATCTGTCTGTTGTCTACGTGCAATATGCTCTAGTAGCTGTTCCTTTCAGCGAACAGCATCAGTATTTATCATCTCCTGGCAGATGTTAAAACTGCAGGGCTTGTTTGAAACACTGTTTAGTATAGTTATAAAATGCTAACAGATAAGTGCCTAATTCAATAACATTTCACATATCCTCTATTAATTCTTCACAATGATTAAATAGGGAATTTGTATGACATGTTAATAAGGACACAGAATCCAGAGAGATTCCCTTAAGCATGTGGAATTCACGTAAAATATACACACATCCATTATAATTGGTAGCAAACAGCCCCCTTGCAGATATTCAGAGATGCACAACATTAATTATTCTGTATTCTGAGCTGCCCTGTACAAGAAATTATAGCAATGGATCTTAGAATCATAGAACTTAGAGATGGAAAAGTGCAGAATTGTTCTTAGTAATTAAAATTAAAAAAAGAAAAGAAGCCACAGAAAACAATTAAAAAAACAGTTAACATTGTTTAGTGACAATATATTTACCAATCATATCATTTTAAAACAAGGACATTAAATGCACAAAACTATATTAATATACTTTATGGGGGATTTTAAGCAACATTAGAAGTCAATAAATTCAGAAGTATATTTCCCACCACAGTAACTGTATCATGGTTACTTGCACAGAACACATTAAGGGCCCAATCCTTAATATGCCAGAATGCTGAGGCACACAAACTCTCAGGTTTTGGACATATGACTCTATGCAGTAATGCAAAATACTATATACTCAGATATGCAAGGGAGCTGAGTCAGTCATTATAGGATTTTTTTTTAAATTCCTGGTCTTTGTGCATGCAACCAAAAATTCCATTAAAATGGGGGGGGGGGGGGTTGGCCATCAGACATAATGAGAATTCTTGGTATTCAGTAGTATTCAAACATGTTGCCTTTGGGCCAAATCCTGACTTTATGGCCCCTTTATGTAGTATTTGTAAGCCACAGAAATATACCCTATAAACATATTTAGTACAGTGCAAAAGTACTACTGTAACCATGATTTTTATTGATACAGGGGTGAATTTTCTGTTTGTTATGGCTTATAGCATCAAGGATGATTCACTGCTTGTTATACTACATTGTGCTTCTTTAAAGAGATGCTTCCTTATGGCTATGTTTTCAGTATACTAATGTAACACTTATCTCTCATAGTGTACTTACAGATTTTTTTTTTTTAAATGAAGATTTCATTTCACAGATATTCCTGGCATGAGATACACTTGACACTAACCCTTTCAAGAAAAGTTTGCTGAAAACTACCATGCACAACACATAACTGATAGATTGTGAAGTGCTCATGTATGGTAATGATTAAAGTGCCTTTTGGATTCTTACCCAAAAATCAGTTATGAACATTAAATCATGATTTATATCCTAAAATTATTAATTAACACTATAAAAACACTATTTTTTTTAATCATGGCTTCCAATCCACTAGAGTGATTCAAGAAGACATCTTTTAAAATCTGCTACTACACATACTAATCTGTAACTTTACATTTTTTGTTGTTGTTGTTAGAAATGGTCTTCCTGCAGCGTATGCTTACTACAACAGTCCTTTTTGCTAAACAAAATTCTCTCTTCTTGTGTAATTTTTTTATTTGATAACAATGCCCACCTTAAAAGTATTCTGTGGTATATTTTTCCATTTAGAAGCAGAATTCTATTGGCATGTTGTTTTATAATTATCAACAGCGCAACAAAAATTGTGGAATTCATGAAAAAAACCACTTCCAGCTAGAACAGTGGTGTCCATCCTGTGGCATTTGAATCTCTTAAGTTCTGACCATTAATGGTGACTATAGTCAGAAGAAAATTTGTATTTGATTATAAATAGAGCCATACTCTTCAGCCTAAATCAGTTCCATCCCTACGCCTTCTAAACTGCCTGCCACTGCTTTGCCAGCTGAGAACTGTGGGTACGTTTCTGCTTCCTTTGCACAGCTTAAGTGGTGCCAAAGATGCGGAATAGGGCAAAGATTCAGCCTCAAACTACTAATGTTGGGCCATTGACCTCTGAGATATTATTGTTATGGTGGGAGTCACCAAATGTTGCTGTTACAGAGTTTTTCAAGGTCTTTTTCCTACCATGAGAATACTATTCAGTTTCCTGATATGGTTTCAAATCAGGACCTAGGAACAGGTGTCTGAATTGAGTAATCTCAGCTCTTCCCTACAACAAATAGTTATTTTGATATTTCCTAGGGATAAATTCCTGATTATTAATGAAAGTAGCTAGGGAGACGGCCTTTGGTACAGGAATTTTAAAAATGTGCTAAGGTGGCCTGGATGAATGGGTAATATTTTGGGGGTGACTTAAATTTCTGTTTAACCCAACAATTATTATGAATAGTTATATTTGGGCTCCAGTCTTGTTTGAAGTTTACACAGTGTTTAGATTGTCTATTGTTTACCCAGTTGATTGTGTCTTTTGATTGTGATGCGTAATTATAATAAGTCAAATGAGGGAAAACTAATCCACACAATTTTGTAGTTGTTTTACAGAACTTTAGAACTCACCCTTTTGTGTTTTATGTTTCCATACGAATTTTAATAGTGCATCCTGCCATGTTTTAGTGGTGTATCAAGGATACCAAGAGGGATGAACTGAAACAAATATAAAAACTTCTGGTGGACAATAACTGCATCTTCACCTAGACTACTCTACCTATCCAAGAATTTCATATTTGTTCCATTCTTCCAAGTTCTATTATTTTATTCAATGTTAGAGGGTAATTTGTCTTAAAAAGATTTTTGTTTCTCCACAATATTTATTCCTAAATATTTTAAAGATTCCTTTACCCACTTAAATTTATGTGCCACAGCATGTTTGGGGATCAGGTTAAAAAGGCTGGTCACAAGGCATATTCACATGGAGAACTTACAAAAAGAGTCCCATTGAAGCCAGTGTGGTTTACTTAGGTAAGTAAATGCTTATCATGGAATTCTGCAATTTGGCCCTTTATGAATGAAACCTATGGGAATTTAGGTCAATTTTTGTTGAAATTATCATATAACAACTTATTTTTAACTTATTAGTTGAAACTAATAAGTTTTAATCAATGCTGTGATTTTGGAACACAAATGGTGTACAACTCACTTGAGGATCAGGGCCTTATTTAGCATAGAAACTTTTTAATACAAACAAGTGATTTGTAAGAATAACCCTTATTTATATCTCGCACTATCATACCCTAGTCTAGGAAACTAGACTTCCCGCATAATGAATCTCCCACAATAAACAGCTTTAAATATTGTACAGCATAATTCTCCACTCTTGCTAATCTGCTCAGAAGATTAATGAGGTAAGTAAAAAAAAAAAAACCCTCTTCCTTTAATATAAAGTTTTGATTCATAGACATTCTTATGTAGTTATTATGAAGTTCAACTGAAGCTAATTTTTGCAAGACTAGTTACATTGTCACTTTAATAGAGCAACTGCTTTCATGGTACCTGTGATATAGGCAACACCAACTAAAAGCAATATTCCTAATGGAAAACCAGCTTGCTTCATTGAATAAGGCAGTCCTGTGAATAATGAAACAAACAAAAGATTAGAGAAAAGCCTTTTAAAATACTTTCTATTTATTTGTGGTGATCTTATTGTAAAGGAAGCAGTCTGTTAAAAAAAAAGTCTATTATTTATTCCCAAAACAGGAACAAACAGTTTAAAGTTCCTCAGCACTGTCCTATATGTATACATCAGACTTGAGAGGGATCATTTTTGAGGGCAAAGGGTAGTTCAGTCTTAAGTCCACCCAGTACTTGATCTCTCTGCTGGCTCTGCTAACAAGGTTACAGATTATTCAACACAATGGGGCCTCTGATTTCATTTGGCAAATGTAATGTTGTCACAATACAAATACATTATAATAATACCATAGTCACAGCAGTAAAATAATGTGAGAAAAACATGTTTTTCACACAACTGGAGATTTATACATATATGAAAGGGTGATTAGACTAAAGTGAAGAAAAGTGTATTTACCTATTATTCCCGATCCTATGATAGAGTTGATAACATTAAAACCAGCTGATGGGAGATCACTGTTTCCTCCTTTAGTCCTAGGCTTACAAACCAAGGCCGTTCTGTCATCTGTTTCTATCTATTCCAATAAGAGAATATTAGTGTTATACAAAAACATATTAGACTAATGGAGAACAATTATGTCAGACATGTTTTGAGTCTTACTAAGTTACAGAAGTATGCTTTATCAATCTTCTGCAGCTTGTTTTGTTCTGACTAGATATCAGTTGAGTCTGGATCCACATAAGCTTTAAAAGTGGGATGATGGCCAAAGATCTGTTCTCAGTGAGATTTTGGCCCCCAAAGGATGAAATATCATGGAATCAATCAGGTATTCTTCCAAGATTTCAGCCACATCTGACCAAGCAGTAGAAAATAAGCCACTTCTGATTTTGGATCAGTCCCAGAACGAAAATCAGAGAGATGGATTCAATTCCAAGAATTTAAACCAGAATCTGAAGAAGTGCTGACTCAAGAAGTGATGACTTTTTTCCGCTTCTAATAATTTCTTTCTCAACCAAAGTTTTAGACCACAGTGAATAGCTAATTGATATTAATAAAATTGGCTTGCCCCAGTAAACTGCCATGTGAAAGACCCAAATTCAAGGCAAAGCTTAGACTCTCACTGCAGTAGCCAGTAGTTTTGCAGAGATAATGTTCTCAGCCTCTAGATCAGGGGTTCTCAAACGGGGGGGGCCAGGACCCCTCAGGGAACATTATTACATGGAGGGTCGTGAGCTGTCAGCCTCCACCTCAAACTTCGCTTTGCAGCCAGCATTTATAATGGTGTTAAATATATAAAAAAGTGTTTTTAATTTATAAGGGGGGTCACACTCAGGGGCTTGCTATGTGAAAGGGGTCACCAGTACAAAAGTTTGAGAACCACTGCTCTAGAAGGTTCATATTAGTCTAAGCACATCCTTCTCTTAGAGAGGCAATACACTGTCCAGGGAAATATAGTCCCACCAACCAGGAGATCAATAAATGCAGTGATATGTAATTAAAAGGAGAAACATAAATTTAATGAAGAAAATGGCAATTCAGAATTAAAGTATGATGATTTAGCTTGTACACACCATGATACTGAAATCACCATCTCAGAGAGGTAGGAGCTTGCTAAATATATACATGAGTAAGACTGTCACGGAAGGCACAGATTCCATGATTTTCTGGGACCTCCGTGACTTCTGCAGCCAGCAGGTGCGACTGACCCCAGGGTTGCCCGAGCAGCTCGAGCGGCCCCGGAGCCAGACACACCAGCCCCCCTGCAACCTGTGATGGACAGGTCCTGGGCCGCCCCCGGCCAGCAGCGGCTGCGGTGGTCCTAGGCCACCCCCTGGCAGCAGCATGGCAGTCTCAAGCTGGCAGGTTCGCCCCCACCCCCAGTACCAGCGGGCACCCCGGAGGCCCCCCTCCAGAACAGCAGCTGTGCCCCTGGAGCCCCCCAGAAAAACAAATATTTAGTCAGGGGTATATAGTACAAATCATGGACAGGTCACGGGCCATGAATTTTTGTTTATCACCTGTGACCTGTCCTTGACTTTTACTAAAAATGCCCATGACTAAATCTCAGCCTTACACATGAGACAGTACAAAAAATAATTCAGCTCAGATGCCTGTAGCCAACACCGCTAAAAAAAAAGTTAAATATGACTGATAAACCAAAGATTGATTTACTTCATAGGAATCTGTGCAGTGCCATAATCTGACAAGAATGTAAAACCATCACAACAGAATTAAGTGGCTACATGCAATTCTTCAAAGTTGCCTGCTGTTGACAGCAGTGTACACCATCAGCACTTCCACTGGACTGGAACAATTTAGGCTCTCTCTTTTGTATTAGGTATTTGCATGTTTCTTTGCATTCTTGCATTCTTTGTATTTGCACGTTTCTTTCCACCATTTCTTGAACCAAAAATATTTTTTACTTACTCAAAAAATTGTACTATACAAGTCAGAAATTCATTCTTAATTTGTCTCATTTCCAGATCGCTGCTTAACATGCAAAATACAAATTTCTACCTAATCTTTAGAACAAGTGATTGTTGTCAGACTGCATTGGTACCCCTGTAAAGCATCCATTAAATATAAATCCTTATAGTCAAGCTTTGTGGAAATGGATGGACTAGCCTGGACATGACCCTTTTTAACATTTTTACTATTGCAGAACTGGCCTTCAGTCTTGGCAACAGTCTCAGTAAAGCATCTCAGAAATCAGTAGAATGCTAGACTGTATTTGGTACACATGGGAGAGGAAAAGCCCATGTTAAGAGATGTATGTCCAACAAATCTGATTCTTTAAAAGTTATCAATTTGTGTCAGATACAGCAGGATGTAGTATATTAAATTAATAGTTTATTCTAGGGCTGTCAATTAATCGCAATTAACTCACACGATTAACTCAAAAATAATTGTGATTAAACATAGTTTTAATCACACTATTAAACAATAATAGAATACCAACTGAAATTTATTAAATATTTTTGGATGTTTTTCTACATTTTCAAATATATTGATTTTCATTATAACACAGAATACAAAGTGTACAGTGCTCACTTTATATTATTTTTATTACAAATATTTACATTGTAAAAAACAAAAGAAATAGTAGGGAGGAGAGATAGTTGCCTATATAAGACAAAGGCCCTAATATTGGGATGGTCCCAATAATATAAGGACATCTGGTCACTCTACCTGAAAGTGAGAACAGGCATTCACATGGATGGCACTTTTGTCTGAGTGATTGGCTGAACAAAAAGTAGGACTGAATGGACTTGAAGGCTCTAAAGTTTTACATTGTTTTATTTTTGATTGCAGTTATTTTTTGTACATAATTCTACATTTGTAAATTCGACTTTCACGATAAAGAGACTGCACTACAGTACTTGTATTAGATGAACTGAAATATTTTTTACAGTACAAATATTTTTAATCAAAAATAAATATAAAGTGAGCACTATACACTTTGTATTCAGTGTTGTAACTGAAATCAATATATTTGAAAATATGGAAAACATCCAAAATATTTAAATAAATGGTATTCTATTATTAACAGTGTGATTAATCATGATTTTTAATCGCTTGATAACCCGAGTTTATTCTGATCACATGTTTACCGCATTTCATGCATTTTCATGTTGGATAAAATGGGAACTTATTCTTGTCTTGGGATTCTTACATCCCATGAAGTGAGCTGTAGCTCACGAAAACTTATAGTCAAATAAATTTGTTAGTCTCTAAGGTGCCAGAAGTACTCCTTTTCTTTTTGTGGATACAGACTAACATGGCTGCCACTCAGAAACTTTAATGAATTTTCTCCCCTTAGATATTCATGTGAAAAACAAAGGCTTAGGCGACTGATCTTCAGACGCATCAAGCACCCCACAGCTCCTGTGAGCTGTTCCAGGTGACAAAAGAAGTGTGTGTTTCGGTGTGGTGGGAGGAGTCAGGATTAAATCTCAGGCCGCCTGACTTCTGCTGCTGTGTTTTATCTTTCCTTCCCTATATTGCTCATGTGGAGCCACTGAGATGAAAAGAGATTACCAGGAGCAGTTATTTCTGGTGACTGCCCACGGAAGACTTTGAAAGTCTATTTACGAACAGTTCTGTTGCTAGCAACAATTTTTATAGCTTTTCCTCTTTTCCATTTTATTTTTATAACTACCTCTCCTCGCATCATTTGCACTAAAACAGCTGTTTAGTGAAGCCAACACCTAATTAAATATTGACATTGACAGTCTTTTCCCATTCCTTAATCATAAAGGTGAACGAGTAGATCGTGCCTGAGCTTGTACACTTTCTGGAAAGTTTTGCAAAGCTTATTTCCTGTCTTAAAGCGTGTTCAAAGCAAATGCAGAAAAGTGCCTTTAAATAAATAAGTGAAGGACTTTAAACGTGAAATGTAGCTGGGTGAAGAGCAGGCTTGGGTTCGTTTCTTCTGTCCACACCAAGGAAAGAGTTCGCTGTCAGACACGGAGCTCCCAGGCCAAGCAATAATAGGAGGCTTTCAAAGCGTTGGGAGTGAGACTGTTGCATGCAATACCCCCCCCACACAAAAATCATACATACACACACCCCGCCCGTACCCCTCAAGTTCTGCGTCTCCAAAAGCCAGCAACTTGAAACACGACCCGCAAATTCTGGTCTGCAGGAGGCTGAGCTAACGGCGCTGCCTGCCTCCAGCCGGCAAAGAAGGGCGGCGGGGGGTGAGTTTGTAGCAAGCCAGCGACACTGACCCCAACTTCCCCGCGGTACCTGGTGAGCAGGGCTTGGCAGCGGGCGCTCCCGCCTGGTGTGCTGCTCCATCGCGGGGCGACGGAGGAGCCAGGCTCCCGGAGGAGCAGCAGCCGGCGGTCCTGCCGGGAGTCCCGTCTGCGGCTGCCCAAGGGCGCCCCTGACTGCGCTGACTGGCTGCCCTGCCCAGAGCCTGCCGGCAGCCGCGACACCGAGCTGCGGGCCCGCGGCGGGCTCCAAGGCCACGTGCCGCGCGGGAGCTGCGGACCCCCCCCCCCCGTCGCCCCCGGGTTGAAGGGCGGTGCGTGAGCTCCGGGGTGGAGCGCTGGGCGACAGCGTGAAATGTACATTCAGCAGGGGAGAGGTGCCCTGGGGCAGGGAGTCGGTGTTTCGCCCACAAGCAGAGGCAGGGTGGTTAAGATAGGGAAGGGCTGGTGAGTAAATTAAGGCTCTGGAAGTTTAGGCTGTAAAACAGAACACAGGGGACGGAGAGGCAATGCAGCCAAGCCCGCTGAGCCAAGGGTACATTCAGAAAAGGGGGTGGAGGTGAAAAGAAGGGGCCAAAACCCAGGGTAGGGGTAGCTGTGGGCAGGGGTGAAAGCGGCCGGTAGGGGCCGTTCTGGGTACTGGTGAGAACCCGCCCCGGCCGGTACCCAGCCCACATCAATGCGCTTTAATGCCCCTGCCCCTTTTGCCTGCCCTGTTGGTGACCCTGCTGGTAGGGTCTGTACCGGCGGGGCCACCCACGGGGGCGGGGGAAGGGGCAGCAACGTTAAAGCGCCGCAGCGGCACAGGACTGTCCTTAAAGCGCTGCCCCTCCCCCTGTGGGCGGCCCTGCCGCTAGGGTCCCGACCAGCGGGGTCGCCAACAGGGGAGGCAAAAGGGGCAGGGACATTCAAGCGCTGCCACAGCAGCGCTTTAAGGATGGTCCTTTGCCGCCGCGGCGCTTTAATGTTGCTGCGCCGCCCTCCCCCCGTCGGCGGGGGGCGCAGCAACGTTAAAGTGCTGCCGCGGCAAAGGACCCTGCGGCACTTTAACGTTCCTGCCCCTTTTGCCCCCCCCCCCCCGGCCGCCAACGGGCGCGGAGGGGAGCAAAGGGAGCAGCTGCCCTGGGGCCAGCGATTTAAAAGGGCCTGGGGCTCCGGACACCGCTGCCACTACAGAAGCAATGGCATCCGGAGCCCTGGGCCCTTTAAATCAACACAAGAGCCCTGAAGGGCGCGGGCCAGCCAGACTGGAAGGGCTGGCTGGGGGATGCTGACCCCCCCCAGCTCCACCCCTTCCACCCGCGGCCCTGCCCCTTCCAGGAGCCAGAGACCCCCGGCCTTGGTAGGTGGTCTCAGTTACTTTCACCCCTGGCTGTGGTAAAAAGAAGTTCCCAGTCACATAGCACTTATGTGGACCCATCACCTTAGTATATGAGCGCCTCACAAGGTCTAACCTATTTCTCCTCACAGCCCCTCAGTGAGATAGAGCAGTGCTGTTGTCCCCATTGTACAGATGCGGCACTGAGGCACACACAGACTAAAGGCCAGATTTTCAAAGGTATTTAGGCAGCTAGTGGGATTTTCAAAAGTGCCTAGAAAGTTAGGTGCTTTGTAAACCCCACTAGATGCTTAGCTGCATCTTTGGGTGCCTAAAAGGTTTTGAAACTCTCTTTAAGGCATTGCCCTGAGGTCATACAGGAAGTCCATGGGGGAAGTAGAACGCAGGTCTTTCAGGGCTAGCGTGCAGAGGGACTGAGCCCACCAATGAGGAAAGCAGAGCTGCTTCCTGTACCCTTAGCTTCACACTCCCCCCAGCACAAGGGGCAGATTTGGGGGGGCACAAGCCTGAGCAATTGCTGGAGAAAGGGTAGGGTCAGCGGCTGCACACAGTGGTGGAAGAACTAGACAGGCAGAAGAGTAGACCAGAGTCAAGGTGTGTTGTTTTCACACACCCCTGCAGGATTTCCCTCAGAGGTAAAAATAAACAAATAGCCCGCCCCCATACTCCCTGTGCAGGGATCAACTCTGGGAAGTTCGGAGCATCTCCAAATAGTTATAAAAACCATTTTAAGCCCGGCTTCTGCATCCGGACCAGTGTGTAGGGATGTGCCTGTGCAGAGCCCTCTTGAAATCAAAATCCGATTAAGTTCAGGTGTGCTGCTCACAGGAGCTAAAGCCAACAGTTGCATCTCATTTTGGAGCATCAGAGCCCATGAGCAGGGACTGTGTCATTCTATGAGTGTGCAAAAACCTTATACAAGAGGGCCTTTATCTTGATATTGGTTCCTAGATTTAACCCCAGTGAAAATAATAATAGAGAGCTGGGTCCTGCAATGAGCTTCCTGGGGCTAGGTGCCTGTGCCCAGGTGGGGCTCATTGCAGCCTTTGAGCCACAGTATTCAACGTTGTTTTGGAGTGGGTTTGGAAAGGCACATGCTCCCATTTTCGTTAACTTGAAATACCATTGCACTGGTCCCTCAGAAATTAGGCTTCTGTGTGTTTCTGGGAATTTATGAAACCCTGAATTTGTAAAACTTTTGTTTAACTCTACAGTACAATGAAAACCTACAGGGGATGTGACTAACACCTGCTATAAGGTCATATCTGTTCATGAACAGCAGTTTTCTACCTACTTCATGTAATTTATTAGGTATATGTACATAGTTATTGGATTGCTACTTTTGTTCTCCTAAAATAGGCCAAATTAGTATAGAAAACATCTACTAAGTATCCCATAATTCATGCAAGTCCCTGGAAGAAGAAAACATCAAATTAAAACCTGACTAAGGATACAGTAAAACTATAGAAGCAAAATTCCTGGAAAAACAGTATTTATTAATAACAATGTGATTTTGATAGATGCTGTTTCCAAGTACAGCAGACTGGAAGAGCCATAAACTCCAATTCTTGGGAAAATGAATGAGTATAAACAATATAGATGTTAAATAATGATAAATAAATAAAGTAGTTTAACATCTGACTTGCTCACAATGTGTGAAGCAAGCACCATGCTGTCACCATGCAAGAAAAATAATTGAATCTCAGTCTGCAGGCAGGAAGAAAAAACAAACCCAGGTGCTATTATTAACAGGGGAACTGACATTAAAGGGGTGTTTAGGTCCTGCAGTAGTCCAGGATAATGTGACAATTGGCCAATTTAACTCGTGTTTCTGACAGGAATGTACACTTTCAGATTTAATTAATAGATTATAATGTTGACCTTTTCCCATGATGATTGTACTTCTTCAGTCAGATGATAGGCTTGAAAAAACAGATCACAATGCCACTGACCTTTTAACTTTCGGAAATGTAGCATATTTTGAGGAATCATGTCACCACCCTCTGTTGAAATTAGAATCTCAGCCTCCTGGTTCTTTTCAAATATAAGTGCAATTCCAATATACAGTTACGTTTATTATTTGGCAGTAAAATAGTACATCTTGTGAGCGAATGTAGTTGCTCTACTTGGGCCCTGGTACATAAGGTGATAGGAAAGTGAAATTGTAGTTCTAGGTGGTCAGGGAAGGAGCTAAGTCAGGGGTGGGCAAACTTTTTGGCCCAAGGGCCACATTGGGGTGCGAAACTGTATGGAGGGCCAGTTAGGGAAGGCTGTGCCTCCCCAAACAGCCTGGCCCCTGCCCCCATCCACCCCCTCTTCCTGCCCCCTGCCTGCCCTCCCCCGAACCTCCACCCCATCCAACCCCCCCGTCCCCGACTGCCCCCCCGGGACCCTCTGCCCCTTATCCAACCCCCCAGCCCCCTTACCAGGCCGCTCAGAGCAGCATGTCTGAATGCCCTGATAATTATCTTGTATTAGGGGGGACAGCGTGGGAGGGGCGGGGACTACCCTCCAGGGCCAGGAGCTCAGGGGCTGGGCAGGACGGTCCAGCAGGCTGGATGTGGCCCACGGGCCATAGTTTGCCCACCTCTGAGCTAAGTGATGTGTTGCTGGGGAGAGAGTGTATAGGACTGACTGACAAGCTTGAGGTTGTAGTGAGTTATACACAAGCATTTGGAAGGTAATATATTTTCAGTATAGAATTAAAATAGGAAAACCACTGATGAAAGTTTTTTGATATCTCACTGATGACAGAGTGATACCAGATGATTCTGGAATGGCCAGAATACCCCAAGACGTTCACTTCCAGGGAGTGTCACTCCTGGTGAGTGGAGCGTGGGGGCAATGTTGTTAATTCAAGATGAAACCTGTCAAAGTTGTACGTCTGCATGATCTAAGGAGAGCCCCAAATCCATGGATGTGCAGCTGTCTTGTATGGATGATTCATTCACTGGCCCTCTCCTGCCAACAGAAAGGTTCCAAAAGAAAGTATGATATCCCTGACCTTGTGTCTGTTTACCCGCTTAGTAGTAACTGCAGAAGGGACTCTGGAGGAGTTAACACGGCCTCAAGTAATGTTAATTCCGGGTGGAAAGTCTGCATAGAAACCCCCCATCTTCCTCTTTCTGCATTTCTACACCCAATATCTTTGTGAAGCTCCTTCCACATGGGAGTCCAGGAGAGAGGCTTGTGCAGAGACCCAGGAAAAGGCAACTTTGCCACTGAGGCACTATTCCCCTTTCCCTGCACTCAGGATGAGTTCTATTTAGGTAGGTTTCAGAGTAGCAGCCGTATTAGCGTCCCCTTCACTTATGTAAGCAGAAGGGCTTATCTGGGCTTTAGGAAGTAGTGAGTAATTCAGTACAAAACAGTAGGAAGCAGTGTGGTCTTTTGGTCAAAGCCCTGAACTAACAATCCAGAGAGCTTGGGACTGATGGTCTTTCACAATAGCGTAAATCAGGAGCAAATCCAGAAGAATGAGACACTAGAATAGACTCTACTCCTGGCTCTTATGCAGATGTCCTGTGTGTGCTTGGGCAAATAACATCACCACTCTGTGCTTCAGTTTACCCATCTGTAAGTAGAGGATGATAATAGTTACCAACTTCTCAGGGATGTTCATTAAATAATCTTAATCTATAGGCTTAATTCATTAAAGCTTGCCAAACATGATGAGTACCTCAGATTGAAGATGCAAAATATTTTAAACAAGAGGCAGTATGTCTTCACTGAAGTAAGAGCATGGCTGTTAAATTTCTATCAGAGACAGATAGCAGCTGGTTATCATAACAGTTAACATATACAAGATAGGTTTCAGAGTAGCAGCCTTGTTAATCTCTATCCGCAAAAAGAAAAGGAGTACTTGTGGCACGTTAGAGTCGAACAAATTTATTTGAGCATAAACTTTTGTGAGCTACAGCTCACTTCATCAGATGC